TATTCAGAAGGATGCCTATATGTTTTTCTTTGGGTTCTCCTTATTTAGCTTCTCTAGGATCACTAATTATAGGCTCAATGTCCTTGGTTTATGGCTAGAAACCAAATATGAGTGAGTACATCCCATGTTCCTCTTTTTGTGTCTGGCTTACCTCACTCAGGATAGTGTTTTCTATTTCCATCCATTTGTATGCAAAATTCAAGAAGTCCTTGTTTCTTACTGCTGAATAATACTCTAATATGTATATATTCCATACTTTCTTCATCCATTCTCAGGACCATGAGGGGTGCACCCACACACTGAGACAATGGGGATGTTCTACTGGGAACTCACCAAGACCAGCTGGCCTGGGTCTGGAAAAGCCTGGGATAAAACTGGACTCTCTGAACATAACGGACAATGAGGACTACTGAGAACTCAAGAACAATGGCACTGGGTTTCTGATCCTACTGCACGTACTGGCTTTGTGGGAGCCTAGGCAGTTTGGATGCTCAACTTACTAGACCTGGATGGAGGTGGGGGTTCCTTGGACTTCCCACAGGACAGGGAACCCTGATTGCTTTTCGGGCTGGGGGGGGGACTTAATTAGGGGAGGGGGAGGGAAATGGGAGGCGGTGGCTGGGAAGAGACAGAAATCTTTAATAAATAAATAAATAAATAAATAAAAACAATAGCAAATAATGACTTTAGTATAGAGAGTTGTTCCACAAAAATTGTAGAGATTCACTTGATGCCTTGTTATGTATTAACTTTGTAGACAATAGTATTGACTACTGTTAGGAGCCAATTTCCTCCTAAAATCATTACAGGAACCATCACCCTGGGGAGTCTGCAGAGAATCCCACACCCTTAATTGTGTTAGGAATAGTTCTATTGACAGAGCCTACCCCACACCCAAATTGGCTGTTAATGAGAGCTATCTGTTAGCAGAACCCACCCCACATTCCAAACTATCTAGGGATCTAGGTGTGTCAACTCGTGACTTCTTGGCCTATAGTGACCTGACCGAAGATAACCTCCTGCCTACGTGACCAACTCGGACCATGTGACCAACGTGAACCACGCGGCAAGAGCCCAGGCCCCTGTGCCCACCCCCCAACTCTTTACCCTATAAAAGTTGTACCCCGTCTCTAATAAACTGAGGCTTTGACAAGAATTCTCGCTTAGCCTCCTTCCGCTTTCCTAGCCCATTATCTTCCAGGTGGTGCCTCTCTGTGACCCTGGAATAACTGAACTGCCGGGTGGGTTACAACCCCTAGACTGAGTAGCCCACCCAAAGGCAATCAACAGACTACTAATAGGATCTCATTTTCTATGATAAAGAAAAGAATGTCTGGAGCTCTGAGCCAGCAACCTGGTCCAGAGCACCAGAGACAGCAAAGTGCAAAGGAAAAGGTACAGGGGAGTAACCGCTGAGTGACTGAGCCAGAGCCAGAGACTGCTGACAGTAAGGATGTGAATCTGGGACCTTCAAGGGAGTAGACCTAAGCCAGGACTCCTGTGGGTCTGGGCATGAATATGGGACTTCCAAGGGAGTAGGCAGGAACCAGACTTGAGTGTGGGACCTCTGAGGGATAAGCCTGAGTTAGGTCTTCTGTTATTAAGGGTGCACCCAAGCCTGGGAACTCTGAGACAATAGACTGGAGCCAGAGACATTTACAGGACCAACTCCAAGCCAGGGATTTCTGAAGGAATGGATCCAGACCAGGATTTATAGAAATGGGTCAAAGCTGACAACATAGGCCAAAAATGGGCCTGAGACAGCAAACTCCAAGGGACTGGAGCAAAGCCCAGGAGTGCTGAGCTATTGCTAGGAACACAGAGTAACCAATGGGGTAACTAGAACTGTGGCACTGACTATACCAAGAGAAACAACCATCTGAGCTTTGGATTCATTGGCTAATCAACAGAAGACTAATCAACAGATAAAAGGGCTAGGGAAGAAATCAGAGAATCAACACCCTTCACAATAGCCACAAATAGCATAAAATACCTCAGAGCAACTCGAACCAAACAAGTGGAAAATGTGTATGAAAAGAACTTTATATCCTTGAAGAAAGATACTGAAGAAGACACCAGAAAGTGGAAAAAATCTGCCATGCTCTTGGGCAGGCAGAATTAATATAGTAAAATATGGCAATCCTACAGAACAATCTACGGATTCAAAGCAAGGCCATCAAAATCCCAGCAAAATTCTTCAAGGACCTCGAAAGAATAGTACTCAACTCCATGTGCAAAAGCAATAAACCCAGGATAGCAAAAACAATCCTGTACAATTTCTGGAAAGATCACAAGTCCTGACTTCCAGAATCTGGAAACAATCTAAATGGCCCTCAACTGAAGGATGGATAAGGAAAATGTGGTACATTTACACAATGGAGGACTACACAGCAGAAAAAAATAATGACAGTTTGAATTTTGCAGGAAAATATATGGAGCTGGAAAATATTATTTTGAGTGAGGTAACCCAGACACGGAAAGACAATTATCACATGTACTCACTCGTAGGTGGTTTTGTAACATAAAGCAAAGAAAGCTAGCCTACAAACCACAATCCCAGAGAATTTAGACAATAATGTGAACACTAATTGACTGCCAAAGCCAGGCGGTGGTGGCGCACGCCTTTAATCCCAGCAGTTGGAAGGCAGAGGCAGGCGGATCTCTGTGAGTTCGAGACCAGCCTGGTCTACAAGAGCTTGTTCCAGGACAGGCTCCAAAACCACAGAGAAACCCTGTCTCGAAAAAAACAAAACAAAAAAAAAAAAAAAAGAAAGAAATTGGACACCAAAAGATCACATAATCCAATAAAAAAAAATGGAGTACAGACCTAAAAAGAGAACTCTCAACAGAGGAATCTAAAATGGCTGAAAGATACTTAAGGAAATGTTCAACATCCTTAGTCATCAGAGAAATGCAAATCAAAACAACTCTGAGATTCCATCTTATACCTGTAAGAATGGCCAAGATCAAAAACACTGACAACTTATGCTGGAGAGGTTGTGGGGAAAAGGGAACACTTCTGCATTGCTGGTGGGAATGCAAGCTGGTACAACTCCTTTGGATGTCAGTGTGGTGATTTCTCAGTAAATTAGGAAACAACCTTCCTCAAGACCCAGTAATACCACTTTTGGGTATATATCCAAAGGATGCTCAATCGTGCCACAAGGACATGTGCTCAACTATGGTCATAGCAGCTTTGTTTGTCATAGCCAGAACCTGGAAACAACCTAAATGCCCCTTGACTGAAGAATGGATAAGGAAAACGTGGTACATTTACACAATGGAGTACTACACAGCAGAAAAAAATAACAACAGTTTGAATTTTGCAGTGAAGAGTCCAAGAATAAAATAAAAATGTAGATTCCAAAAATAAGAATGTAAAAAAAAATATAAAGTTCTAAGTCTAGGAGAACGAGAACAGACTGTCAGCAGCTTTCTCAGCAGATCAAGAATCATTCATTCACAGTGAGCTATTTTCTCAGATGCTTGGGAAGCTTTAGGTCATTTTACAACTGGCTGTTTTATTTACAAGGCCAGAGCTTCTCTCTACAAATTGAGAGTAGTGTCCTGGCCATCCCTGGTAAATGACAGATGTGAACTGAGTTAACCTTTAGGAGACAGAGATATGTGACCGTTGGATTAGACACTGTTTCCATTATGAAAAACTGGTGTCACTAGAGGACAGGCATAAGACTCCAATTTACACCTGGAGGTATTGGAGACAGTGGACAAAGACAATGGTTTAATTGATGAGCTCTGCTAATGGAGGCTGTAAAGTATGGCAGTCAGTATCTGAGTTTTACCTTGAGATAGTGTGAAAAGCTTTCTGCTATCTCCTAAGTTCTCAGCCTAAGAACCAGTTAATCCTAATTTATTAACCTTCTAGTATTACTAGCAGTCCCTTTCTGAGTAATTGCTAAAAGACGTCTGTTTTCTCGCAATTAGTGACCTTCGTAATCTCTGAAACGTATTTCATGATGGCTGCCCAGTTACCCATTAGCACTCACTCGTCTCTTTAGGGTCTCCACTGACCAACCCAAGGGTCAGGGCAAGGTTGTAAATATTCCTTTGTTCAGAGCTAATGCTTGGTGTCCCTACTATAAAAAGTGGGTTCAAAAACCTGCCTTTCACCACAATCTAACAAACACCATCTCTGGCTGTGGTCTCAGCTAACTGATAAGCTTCTGTGCCCCACAGTGTTTTATTTTTACTTTTTATTTTTAAGTTTGCTTCTGGTTTTCCTAGGATTTGGTTTCCGGAATAAAGTTTGCTTCTGGTTTATTAGACTTAGTGGTGTACTCATTTTTGCGCGACTCCCCTGGACCCACCAGCAGGAAAATGGATGGAGCTAGAAAACATTATTTTGAGTGAGGTAACCCAGACACAGAAAGACAATTATCACATGTACTCACTCGTAGGTGGTTTTGTAACATAAACCAAAGAAAGCCAGCCTACAAACCACAATCCCAGAGAATTTAGACAACAATGTGAACACTAAGAGAGACTTACATAGATCCAATCTGCACGGGAAGTAGAAAGTAAAAAAAGACAAGATCTCCTGAGTAAATTGAGATTATGGGGACCTTGGGCGAGGGCTGAAAGGGGGAGGAGAGAAGAATTGAGGGGAGTAGAGAAATATGTAGAGCTCAAAAATTTCAATTAAAAAAAGAAAAAAAACACATTAAGTTAAAATACAAAGTGCTGAACATCTAGCAAATAGTGGGGAAAACAGGCCTCTCTGTTCTCCATGAACACACGTAAAGCACGCTGATGTTTTACACACAGCTCTCTGCGCCCTATGCTCTCCGTATAGAGTCCACAGAGCTAAGTTATTCAGAGGCTTACTCCTAGGTCCAGGGAGTTGCAAGGACCACGTGGGACCTCACAGGACAGGGAATATGGCTGCAGGTTCCAAACCTGATACGGGGAGGCGTCACCACACTGTCTCCTACACCTCACCTTCTTCTCCTTCCCATCTGGGAACAACAGCCCCTACTCACCATGTCGTGATCTCCCAGCTTGCCCAAGCTTTCCGCTCAGCTCCCTGTAGGATAACTTGCAGCACAACACACAAAGCCACTAGTGCCAGCTCCTCTTCAAAGACAAGCCTAAAACCTGTGCAGGAAGGGCCCTGCCCAACTTCTGACTGGCAGGTCGTCTGGAGGACCTGATTGGCCAGTGAGGCCTGAGTGACAAGAACACCTCCCATAGGGTTAGGCTGTGCTTAAAGTCACAGCACAAGGCTTCCTGATCCTGCCTTCCACACCAGACAAAGACCTTTTCTGGATCAGCAGGGGAAATGCATTTCAATAGCAATTGCCCCTGGATCCAATAGCTAGCCGACCCTGCTATCTTCCTGCAATCCACAGGCACTTCCCCTTCTTCCTCCTGGACACAACAGGTCTAGCAAGCTTGTACAGCCCACTATCACACAGGTGCTGTGCTGTCACACAGGTGGAAGCATCCCGGAATATTAACATTTAAAGAGACATTTAAGGAAACAAAAGGATATGTTTGCTCTGTGGTTTCACGCTGAAGTCATGTGGGGGAGGGGGGTTCAGACAACCAGGAAAAGCGGGAACCTGACCTCAAACAAGATAATAAGTCTTTCTCCAATCATAAGGCTGGGTGATGGCTCTATGCTTTAGTAGTATTATTTCTGAAACTCAGAACAAACTCTTGACAAATGAATAATAAAAACAGCAATCTTTGTGCAAAGTTGACTACTTAGAGAATAATGGAGCTAGGCTTAACGTGTTTATGAACACTATTGTTTGCTAGCACATCTTCTGTGAGCAGGTGATAAAAAAACACAGCTGCATTATTCTAGGGTGTTTTTGGTGAGAAAGGGTTTATCTGAATGGCTCTGGAACTCATTCCATAGACCACGCTGGCCTAAAACTCAGAAAATGTGACTGCCTCTGCTCCTGAGTTATGAGGTTAAAGGTATGCACTGCAACCAAGCAGCTAAATGTGGATATTATCATCTCAAATGATCCAGATTAAAGGTAGGTCTTAATTTCAAAATCTTAAGAAAAATCCCTAGCAGTGTACCCAACTCTGTGGGTTTTAATTTCAGAGGTAATCAATTTGACTACCAAGAATAGCCATCACAACATCCAAGACAGAAAAATGAGAAAGAGTTCCTACCTGCAGGAGACAAGGAGAGCATGGGAGTTGTTTCCAAAACAATGCTTTTCCTAAACAGAGGAATCATGGGGATTTTACTTAGGGAATCTGCATGTGCTCAGGTGGAGCTCTCCCTGGAGCTAAGCTTGCTCAGATGACAAATCCACTTCTGAACAAAATCACAATTTAAAATCAAAGACATTAAGGGACATAGGGACCCTCTTGCATAAAAGTCTGTCAGGGTCATTTAAATGAAAAAATGATGAAAAGAAATACCTGAAAATCAAGTAAATGACAGAAATAAAAGTCAATTGCTTTGGCGCAAAAGCAGTCTTGTCAGTCTTGGTCCTTGATCTGAAAAATAACTTTACCAGCGGGGCGGTGGTGGCGCACGCCTTTAATCCCAGCACTCGGGAGGCAGAGGCAGGCAGATCTCTGTGAGTTCGAGACCAGCCTGGTCTACAGAACTAGTTCCAGGACAGGCTCCAAAACCACAGAGAAACCCTGTCTCGAAAAACCAAAATAAATAAATAACTTTACCAATACCACAGTTCTTACAGATGCAAAAGATAGAGAAGACAAATAAGAAAACATGAAGAGAAAGGAACCCAACAGCACTGTATATTCTGCTTTTAGATGAAAGGTAATGATGATCTCTACTAACCTCAGAACCATCTGCTTTCACCTCTGAGCAGGCAGTCTTGGCAGAAGGCCATGGCTACTTCCATGCAAGACCAGACGGAATTCATTTTAACAAACCCTAGCGGCTGTCTTTCTCAGGGATATGACATCACTATAAAGAATTTTATTCTTTCCTTTTTTTACTTTTTTTTAAAAATTTATCGAGACAGGGTTTCTCTGTAGCTTTGGAGCCTGTCCTGGCACTAGCTCTTGTAGACCAGGCTGGTCTCGAACTCACAGAGATCCGCCTGCCTCTGCCTCCCGACTGCTGGGATTAAAGGCGTGCGCCACCACCGCCTGGCTTTTACTATTTTTTTAAAAAAATTAGTTATATGGCATTTTTCCTGTATGTGCCTGCACACAGTAACTACAGAGGTCAGAACAAGGCAGGAGATGCGTGGGACTGGAGTTACAGCAAATGGTGAGCTACCATGTGGGTTCTGGAAAAGGAATGCTAATCTTCTGTAACAAGACTCAGTGTTCTGAACTGCTGAACCATCTCTCTAATGCCTCTTTTTTATTTAAAATTTAGGTCCATTAGTTGTTAATTAAAAGATATTACATCACTTTTCCTCTTTATCTCTTCATGCCATCCCTTCTGAAACCCTTCCAATTTCTTCCTTGTCAAGTACCAGGGAATAAACATGCTGAAATACATGAGGACGACCTGCTGCATCCATTTTGTTGGTTGTGTAAATATGGATAATGGGCTGGGCACATTGCATTGGGTGACTTTTGGAAGCTAATCTCTGCCTGAGGCTAATTCTCTCAAATGGAGGAGAATTCCACTTTTTGATTAGCATCTGGTGTCTGATACTGACTAAGTTGCCTTGGACTAGAAACACAATTGAGAATAGATAACTTTGGGTGGAAAATATCTTAGCAGTTAAGAGTGTAAAAAATTCCTTCAAAGAATCCAGCCTCTATTCTCAGTACATGTAGCAATTCACTACAAGCTGTAACTCCAGTATCAGGGATTTTTTTTTTTTATTGAGAAAAGAAGAAAAAAAAACATAGACAAAAAAAAAAAACAAGTTTCCACCTCCTCCCAGCCTCCCATTTCCCTCCCCCTCCTCCCACCCTTCTCCCCCTCCTCCCACCCTTCTCCCCCTCCCCCCACTCCTCTCCCCCTCCCTCTCCAGTTCACAGAGCAGTCCGGGTTCCCTGCCTGTGGTAAGTCCTAGGTCCTCCCCCCTCCGTCCATATCTAGGAAGGTGAACATCCAAACTGGCTAGGCTCCCACAAAGCCAGCACATTAAGTAGGATCAAAACCCCGTGCCATTGTCCTTGGTGTCTCATCAGCCCTCATTGTTCGCCATGTTCAGAGAGTCCCGTTTTATCCCATGCTTTTTCGGTCACAGTCCAGCTGGCCTTGGTGAGCTCCCCGTAGATCAGCTCCACTGTCTCAGTGGGTGGGTGCACGCCTCGTGGTCCCGACTTCTTTGCTCCTGTTCTCCCTCCTTCTGCTCCTCATTGGGACCTTGGGAGCTCAGTCCAGTGCTCCTGTGTGGGTCTCTGTCACGATCTCTATCCATCACCAGATGAAGATTCTATGATGATATGCAAGATATTCGTCAGTATTGCTCTAGGATAGGGTCATTTCAGGTTCCCAATCCTCAGCTGCCCAAGGAACTAACTGGGAACCTCATCTTGGGCACTTGGGAGTCCCTCTAGGGTCAAGTCTCTTGCCCACCCTAAAGTGGCTTCCTTAACTAAGAATTGTGGTTCCGTGCTCCCCTGTCCACCTTTCCTTTATCCCAATTCTCCTGTTTCCCCAGGTCCCCCCTCCTTCCCTTCTACCTTTTCTCTCCCCATCTCCCCTTACCCCCATCCCACCCCACCCCCAAGATCCCATTTTCTCCCCGGCAATTTGGTCTACTTCCCTTAGCCAAGAGGATAACTATATGTTTTTCCTTGGCAGTATCAGGGATTTTGATACCGTCTCCTGGCCTCCTTGGCCATCAGAAGAGGAGGAGAATTGCACAATAAGAATTATTTTTTAAGCTGTGTGTGGTAGGGCATTCTATTAGCACTAGCAATCTGGACACAGAGGCAGGAAGATCATCTTGAGGTTTAAAGCCTGTGCCTCATAGTCTAAACACACACATACACACACACACACACACACACACACACACACACACACACACACAGGAAAAGAAGAAAACTGAATAACATACAAGAAAAGGAAAATTGAAGAAATGTGACAATATAATACCTCATTAAAGTAAATTATTTTCTTTTTTTTAAATATTTATTTATTTATTATGTTTACAATATTCTGCCTGTGTGTATGTCTGCAGATCAGAAGAGGGCACCAGACCTCATTACAGATGGTTGTGAGCCACCATGTGGTTGCAGGGAATTGAACTCAGGACCTTTGGAAAAACAGGCAATACTCTTAACCACTGAGCCATCTCTCCAGCCCCTCCAGCCCCAAAGTAAATCATTTTCAAAAATATATATGGCCAGGCATTTGAGCACATGCTGGTAATCCTGGTCTCTTGGAGAAACTGAATATTCAACAGTGTGCTACCACCTTATCAAGCAATCTCAAATGTCTCCCTTGACATTGGATTCTCCCAAACTCAAAGACAGAGTGGCAGAGTGGGATCAGTAACTGGACTCCAGTGGCATCCCCCAGGCTGCCTTGTCCCTTCAGGAGTCACACACTTCTTTCCTCTCACAGGAGATCACGTTACTGGGCACCGTGTTACTCAGGGCTCTTCAGAAACACAGACCCAACAGGATACATGGGAGCTACAAGGAGTGACCTGTTCAGGAGTGTTGGGGGAACTGGCTCAAGATTAGAGGCTGAACCATCTCAGAACAGGCTGCCTATAATGCCTATCATCAGAGACCCTGCAGGCTTGGCTGCTCTCAGGACTCAGCCCAAGTCTCCAGACCCCAATGTCAAGGATAAAGCCATGCGGTGTAGGCAGCTGCTCATATGCTTTGGAGTCCCAAGTCAGGAAAGCTTGAGTTCCTGTTGTCCAAGGGTAGGGAAAACAATCTTCACACCAGGAGATGGATGGAGATACGTGTTCTATCTTGGCCAGACTGGGTATGTTAGGTCCAGGGTGGGTTATACAAAGATGGAGACAGACCACCAAAGTCTAATAAACCAGAAGCAAACTTTATTCCAGAAAACAGAATCCAGGAAAAAATAAAATAAAATAAAAAATCTCCATGGGGCACAAAAAGCTTATCAGCTAGCTGAGACCACAGCCAGAAATGGATTTATGTTCAGCTGTGACAAAGGCCAGTTTTTTTTTTTTTGGT